ACGGTTCGCAATGTACCATTAGGGCCTCAGTTAGCAGATGCGATGGATTATAAATAATAAACCCTTATATTGTCCTTTTTCGCCTTCTATTATTACCGTGAGTGCTCATCTGTTATAAGCAAAGTCTACTCGTGGTCTACGTAGCTCAAACCCAGCCATTCATCACCCTCATCCGTTCATTGACCAAAAGGCCAAAAGGGGAAAACAGAACAAATGTAAGAACCGTTACTGGTTATGATCTCGTATCCCCCCCCCCCGCCCAACCAACTTTGTTCCGATTTTTTCTCCCTTGCAGCGCTACGCTACGCTCTTCGCACGGTCTCGCCCGGAAACCCCTATACAACTCCGCTCAAGATGAATGAGACAGGATATATCTCGGAACGAAGTCGATCATCGGCCTGCGCCGCGCCCGGCTCCGGGGTTGCTCCCGTCATCAGCGCCGCCGCCGCCGCCGCCCATCATATTCCTCGCCATGTCGGCGATGTTAGGGTCATTCATCAGAGAGCCTAGGTCAGGCATGCCACCGCCGCTGGAGAAACGGTCGGCCATCTCACGCAGGCGCGGGTTGCTCATTAGGTTCTGCATCATGTCCGGGTTCGACATCAGGTTCTGCGCCATGCTCGCGAACATGGGGTTGCTCATGATGCTGCCGAGATCCGGGAGACCACCTCCGCCGCCACCGCTAGCTCCATCGCGGTTTGCACCTCCAGCGCCGCCGCCGCCGCCGAAGAGACTCGCTAGGCTGCCTAGGTCGGGGCCGCCTCCGCCGCCGCCGCCGCCACGTGCCGTCGGAGCTACGTCTGCGGTTTCGGCTTCTAGCTCGTCGACGCGTCGCTTCGCCGTCTCGAAACCTTTCTTCATGGCCTCGCTGCCGCCGTTGCCTTCGTGCTCGATTCCTTGCCGGTACGCTTCCATGGAGCCCTTGGCGTCGCCGAGAGCGAACCGGGCGAGGCCCAGCCGCGACCAGGCTTTCGTGTACTTGGGGTCGATGCTGACGGCGGTTTCGGCGTCGGCGCGGGCGCTGGCGTGGTCGCGCGCGGCGCTGTAGGCGGCGGCGCGGTTGGAGAGGTAAATGGCGTTGCGGGGGTTGAGGGCTAGGGCCTGGGTGTATAGGTCGATGGCGGCGGGGTAGTCCTTGGACGCCATGGCGCGGTTGCCGCGGGCCTTGAGGTCCTCGGCGCGAGCCTTCTCGTCATCGGTGGGTTCCTTTGCCTTGTCGGAGGTGTCGGCGGTATTCGGGGTGGGTTTGGCAGTGGTGGTGGTGGTGGACTTGAGCTTCTCGTAGACGCCGTAGATCTGTAGAAGATTCTGGGTGCCGGTGGCGGCGGAGACGGCGGCGGGGTCGGCGGGGTCGACTTTGAAGGATTCGCCGATGCAGTTGATGGCGACGTCGATGCTGTCTTTGTCCTCGGCTGAGAGGGTGCCGTCGGTTAGGGAGGCGGATAGGAAGTCGCAGATGGCGAGGGCCAGGCGCTGTTTTGTCGTCGTCGCCTGTTGGGGTGCGCGGGCAGGGTTAGTATTATGATATATGCATTACAAGTATGTATACGGCTTGCTAAGGGGTATGCTGGGAAAAGATAGGATAGGGTAGGATAGAATAGAAAAAGGGGAGAGTATGATATTAGATCAGATCAGATCAGTTCGTACCATGGTTGGTTTGTTAAAGAATTCAACTGAGGGGTCAGCCAGTCGGTTGAGTCCCAAGCGAATGAGAAGGTTTTACTGGTATGTACGTAGTTATGGCCAAGCGAAAGGAAGGAGATGAATAAAATTAACTCTCCAGTAATTCGTACCGCAGGTGAAGAGTTAGCTGGTAGTAGTAGTATATAGGTGAGTTAAGTCGGTGGGATGGAATGTTGATTAGATGCGACTTGGTTCTGTTCTCGAAATTTCGGCCTGAGATGAGAGCTGCGTGCGAAATGCGAAGGTGGGAGAGGCGGGACAAGAAGACGCCTAAGACCAAAGACGGAAAGTGGGGGACGGGTTGGGGCTGAATTGGCGCTGGGCGGTGTGTGTATGTATGTAGAGCTAAGAGGCTTAGCTGCACAGATTAAGACGGCAGAATTTGGCGGAGTACCTAACCTGGAGAATCTTTATCGATAACAGGTAGCCATAAATATATAAGATAAGCAGTCTTTGTTCATCTGTGTACTGGGCAATTGACAATCTTAGAATTCTGGCAATTATACCTATAATGACTACCTCCTTTTCTTCTTCCCAAAACCCTTACTTTTAGTTATACTTAATATAACTACAGAATAGGTAACTAGCATAATGTTACCTTTTGTTTCCACACTGCGGCAATAACCATTTAATTGTTAAGAACCATAGGTATCAACACTTTACGACTTTAATAAGCCACTTCTATCTCATGGTACCCCAATGAGAAAATTGCCTTAGGTAAATAGGTACCTAATTATTGACTCTCTAAACGTACGCAAAATTACCTATATTAAGTACTCAACTTACCTAGGTGCCTTGGGTATCTATTAAAGTCTTTGATGACTCTAACTCCTTGATGATAATGATGATAAGAACGTTAACGTCTATTGGTGGCTATAAGCTAGGTAGCTACAGCAAGCGCATCTATGGCGCTCTAAACGTCTAAAGTACCTCCTTTAAAAAAAAAAACAAAGCTAAAGTTTCGCTTAACATAAAAAATCCTCTACTTCCTATCCTTAGCCCCAACCTGCTTATAACATTACTCTACTTAATTAGCGCCAACACCAAATAGCCAACTTTTTATCAAAGAAAAAGCCGTTAAACACGCCTTCTTATCCCCTTAACTGGCATAAAACTATACCTTTATTATTTTTAATATAATATTACGAGATAATTTAATTTTAAAATTATCGATTAATGAAATTAAGTTATTTAATCTTATATTTAATTTAATTTATATTAATTATATTAATATTTTTTTAAGTTATAAATAATTATATTATAAGTTTAATATTAATATTTAATTTATTTTAATTTATAAATAAAGTTATTTAAGGTTTTTTTATTTAAATTAATTAGTTTTTAACGAGGTTGTTTTTAAATAATGTTGTTTTTATAAGTTTAATATGTTAATAAAATTGTTTTTTTATTTTTTTAATGATATTATTATAAGATTTTTATGTTATTTTTTTAACGTTGTTTTTAAGTTTTTTTAACGAACTTTAATATTAAATCTATACCCTTTAACTTTATTTTTAATAATATATATTTATTTAATTTTTTAATAATTAAATAAGTTTTTAAGTAAAGTTATTAAATAACTTAACTATTTAAGGTTTAAAATGCGTATGTATTTATATTAAAGTTAATATAAGTTTTTAATTATTTAATTATAAGGTTTATTTTATTATTTTATATAATAATTAAGTTAAGTTAAATAGCGATATTATCGATATTAAAGTGTTATAAAGTTATTTAATTATTAAACTGGTGTGGTGCCACATTGCTAAGAGCAAAGGTATTATTATGTAATCTTAGGTTATAGGCCATATAAAGGTTTAATATTCGTTGTATTCTTCTGATCAAATAGCCACGATTATTACCATTTAGTTATGCATTTAATATAAATATATTTGTTATTTTCTTATATTTATAGTTTATGGCTTTATTTTACGTATTTATTATATATATTTTATTTGATTAATAAATCCTTATAGTTTTTCCAGAGTATAGTGCTATTATCAGCTGTTTAGGGCCTTTTACGAGGATTTAGACGTTGAAGTAATATGCCATACTTTGCAGGAGATATTAATTCCTGTTCATTATCGAGGGATATTAAAAGCGACGATAATATGTTAAAAGCGGGTTAAAAACGAGGTTATTAACATATAACGATTTAAAACTATTTTAAAAAAGTGATGTTTTTATTAAAAAGGATAAGATTTTAAGGAATTAGTTTTGTATTTTTTTGTATTGTTGATTATGAGGAGCTTCCAATCAATTAGAGGCCTTGGGTCTAAATAAAAGTGGATTTATTATGCGTATGTTGTAGGCTGACTTTATACAATACCGATTACAGGGGGGGTTGTAGTCTTATGCCAGTTAAGGGGATAACGGAAATAAAATTACCCTTAACGCCTAGCAGTGCCCAAAAAAAACCTAAATTAACCCGTTTTTGGTTTAACCACAATAAGATTCGAACCCACTTATATTACGGCCCGTGGGCACGAACCAACACACATCCAGGCGTTAAACCACTACGCCATCTAACTCCTTAACTTTCCAGGCAAGTCTTGCCCGAGTGAGGAAATATACCGAAATAGGCCTTACGAAGGATCATTTAGGCCGTCTCTTCAAGCGCACATGTAAAATCCCATTGCTTCACTTAGCATTCGTATTATTTTGGTGTCGCGAAAACCACCTCAGGCACATTAATAGCGAAGAAATTTACTAAATCAGCCTAGAAGACCAGCAAGTAAGCCGAGTGGTAAACAGAAAACTGAAAGGTTGTGCTAGCAAATAAAACCAGCCAAACCCGGACTCTAACCCGGCTTCGTTCCAATTTGAGGCTGTGTTCACCATGTTGTTGGTCATAATTAAAACACGTTCAAAGTCTTCATCGGACTTGAAACCTAACTGCATAAATCCAATGTGACCGTGACATGTATATATCTGCCCAGCCCCCAAACAATAGCTAAGGCGTGGTAGGAAAGTCGTGTGATAACCAATGCCTGGGCAGTAGTGTGATACCAAATAATATATGAAGAAGTAGAAGATCCTCTCGTGTCTAGGTCCGTTGCTCCTAATTCAGCCAGGTCAACACAATGCGACCGTAGCCTCGGGAATATCTCTGCTACCAATAATATGTCATGCTAAAATTATTACTATGGTCACATCCATGTGGCATGCCTAACTTGGCAAAGCCTAATTAGGTAGGTCTTGTCGTGGTAGACCTTGAGGTGTCTGTGTAAGCGCGCGCTTCAAGTACCGACGAAACCACGGGCACGACCCCGAGAATGGGGCATAAGCTCCCCGGGCCGAAGACAAGTTGTCTGGCAATACATCCGACCGATAGCCTGTATAGAAATACATTGTGCCCCTTGCATGTTTAGAATTAGGCCCTTGACTATATTGTGCTATGCTCCCTCCATTCTACCTACTACAACTTTCTTTAAATTACTTTCTGTTTAACTATCTATTATACATTAGAGTTTATACTGCCAGAGACAATGCAGATATAATAAAAATGATCATTTAGTCATACGAAATACATATCCAGCCTTCTTAAACATGGCAAGTTCTAGTGTCTCTGGGAAAGAAGCAGCGCGCCGGCTCGTGCAAAGCATTTCCAAGCAGCATGGCTACCTCGGCCAGGATGTTTATGCAACTATGCCCGCAGATACTCGCCGTCAAGTTCAAGAAGCACTCCTCATGGCACACACGCTGGTAGGAACAAGTGTCATTACGTACGAACTCCTTATTACCGGAAATAGGAAGAGATACTGACATAACGCTACATTAGGCTGGCAAAGAATCTCTATACTAAGGATGTTAGATGGATCTTCGAGCTCTTACAAAACGCCGAGGATAACTGCTTCTCCCGAGCAGAGTCTTCAGGAATCGTGCCATACGTGTCTTTTGATGTGTATAAGGATCGAGTTGTTGTCAAATGCAACGAAGATGGCTTTACCGAAGCAAATCTTAGAGCGATATGTAAGATTGGAGCGAGTTCAAAGACAGGGGCTCAAGGATACATTGGCGAGAAAGGCATTGGCTTCAAGTCAGTCTTCAAGGCAGCATGGAAAGTTCACATTCAGTCTGGAGACTATTCGTTCACATTTACCCACCAAAAGGGCGATTCCGGTATAGGAATGATATCTCCGGAATGGTGCGAACCGACGGAAGAAATACCGATGCCCTTGACTAAAATCACATTGTTTTTGCACCCCACCGATGTCTCAGGCACCGAAGATGCGCGGCGACAAAACATCCTTAATCAGTTGAACGAACTTCAACCTACGATGCTCCTTTTCCTAAAGAAGCTAAAGCAAATCAAGGTGCACATCTACGACGATGCTGGGACCGAAATATCATCCTCTTTGCTTAAAATAAATCATACCAACCAAGTCAGCAATCGCATACTCGAGAAATTCCATACCCAGGACAAAAAGACGACCCATACAACACAAAGATACCATATCGTGGAGCATATTGCACGTAATCTTCCTCATAGTGAGAACAGAACGTATTCTCTCCAGGAAGAAGCATCGAGGGCAGAAAGTACTGCTCCAATTATCCTCGCGTTTCCTCTTTCACATGATGATGAACCATTCATCGAACAACAGGAACTCTTCGCATTTCTTCCAGTCCGCCGAGTGGGATTCAACGTAAGAGACACCAATATGTACCAAATAAATCAAATACTAATGAGTTGGCTAGTTCCTAATCCACAGCGATTTCGTAACCCAAGCGAACCGAGAGGATATCGTGACCACCTCATCCCGAAATATTCAGCTGTTAGATTCACTGGCAAAGGCTTTCGTGGTTGCAATGAGATCGCTTTGCCTTCATCCGACCTTGAAGTATCAGTGGATGCGTTACCTTCCAAGGTTATCAAACTATCCATGGGACCCATTCTGGTTAAGGCTCGTTAATAAGATCAAAGAAAGCATTTGCTGTGAAGAGATTTTGATTTTGCGGGATTCAACGATCCAAAGACAGATACCGCAAGCAAGACGACTCAGCTTGGACACACTTGATCAACACGGAGATCCCCTATTTATCGACCTCCCCGGCGATAAAGCCTGTTATATTTCATCTAATTACAAGATGAGCGACCTCGATATTCTTCAGGACTATGGACTCAAAACAATATATCAGGATGAGGTGCTTCAGAGAGTATCGAGAGATTTGTATAGCAATACATCCAGGATGCAGTCCACAGGGACCGATTCTGATTGGCACGCTCGTGCAGCCCGACTTTTAAGTCTACCCTTTAAAAACGGATGGCAGACGACGATGAAAACAACTAAGTCGTTACATCTGATCCCCCTAGTCGATAACGCATGGGTTAATTCAACTGAACCTGATGTGCATTTTGCAACTACGATGAACGGACTCGCGATCCCGGCTGGTCTCGAGTTTCGCCTCATAGACCCCGCTGCTACAGCAATATCTGAAAGGAAACAATTGTTCGCTCATCTCGATGCAAAATATGCTTCAGTACACCATATCCGTGTCAAAGTCTTTGAAGAATATTGGAGATGGGGGGCTATGAGGATAAACTACGAAACTTCACTCTCTCATCTCAAATTCCTCTATCTAACACACGGCCAAGATTCCACTTCCAATAGATATGAGGATTATAAGGATTTGTTGCTACGCGATGATCGCGGATCTTTGTATCCATTGATTTCACACGTGTCTTACTCGGACAAGGGATTCTGGGAACTAATCTCCAAGGCCGACAAATCTCCAGAGTGGTTTAATGTTCATTTTATAAACAGAAAGTATTTTGAAGACGACCCAGGAAAATCAACTCAACATGATCTGACGTGGAGAGAATGGCTCGAAACATGCCTCAAGGTTCGTAATTACTCGAGGCTATTCGATGCTTCCGGGAACTCGCTTTCAGACGAATGTACATTCGTCGACAAGCACCTTCCTTCGGAGCTTCTGAATCTCTTGAGACAAAGTTGGGATTTGGAAAAGTCCCGTGTGACACCCGAACTGATAGAGAAGCTGGATGATGGACTGAGGGTACCATGCCAAGGTGGTCGGCGTTCAAGCCTTTCGACATCATATTTCCCTTTGCCGGTATTATTAGAAAGGCGTGACGAGTTCATGCGAGAAGGAGAATTCTTCCCTTTCCTTGACATTAACGATGATTCAGACTCGGTGTCTCAATGGCACTTCTTGCACGATTTGGGGGTGAAGTTTAACACCAATCTAGAGTTCTACCTTGACATTCTTACTCATATACATTTGGGCAATCTGTTTAAGGACGGTCTTGTTGACCCTTTACGCATTTTGCGTCTATATTTACGCCTTCATGCAGAATGCTTGGACTCGCAAGGCAAAGAAATGCAAGAAACGAAACAGACTCAGATACGGTATGTATGCATTATTTCCTAGGCTAAAACCGGGTTCGTATCAGGTAGACTAACTAGTAAACTAGTGATACTTTTCAGAGTGAACGACTTGTGTTTATAATATCTGCTTGGGAGCAGCGTAAGTCAACTTGGGAATCTCCCAGTAAATGTCTACTCGATGGGCCCATGAACATGGAGACCGTCTTCCCAGTCCTCCCCATATATGCGCAATTCAAAGATTCTGTCCCGGGGTTCCCTAACTTCAGGACATTCCTCCAAGAAACCCTGAGACTCCCGAAGTGCTCATGGAATCATATTGTGGGAGAGCTAAAGCATATCAAAGAGTCGAACCCCCCAGGGATCCATGATAGAATTCGAGAATTATACTCGGAATTAAGTGCTATGAGACTATCTAGTACTCAGTTAGAAGAAATGAGGTAATGTGTGATGCCTAAAATATTCGTCAAACAGATGTCAAGTGTCCTAACCATATTATCTACCTTAGAAACGCGTTCAAAAACGATGCCTTGGTTTTTGCGGATGTCAGTCCCCAAAAGTGGCATATGCCATCGCAGTGTCTATGGTGTGTCTCATCGCCAATTCGAGGTAGGGTAAACTTGAGCAATATATATGACGGGGATTTGGAGGGCTTTTTTGTCGAAAAGCTAGCTGTACGTGTGTTAGACGCCGATATTATCTACAACGAATTGTTGGAACTGGATCCGGAAGAGGCCACGACGGGACGCGTTAAAAATCTCCTTTGGACTTTCAACTCACATATCGAGCTCGAAAACTTCAATACTTCTCCCGAGAAGTTACTAAAACGTCGAATCCTACCAGTTAGGGAGGTTGGTGGCAAGATAGCTCTGCATTCGGCGGAGACCAGCTTTGGCATTATCGATCGCAAGAAACTTGGCGATATTTTCTACGACAAGGTCAAAATTCTCGATTTCGCCGTAAACGATATTGTTAAACTCATGCCTCTCATAAAGTGGGCGGGCCTCGAGGATAGGTATCTATCACGATTAGTTCAGGAGACGTCTGTTGTGGATTCAGGCTTAAAAACACCAATATCAGACCCAATCCAAGATATCAGGAAAAAGGCATATGGGCTACTTCGGTAAGTCAAATCGACCCTACAAGATTATAGGAATTCCTGCTAATAAATTGGTTTCGTAGCATCGCAACTCATTTCAGGAGCCCTCGGATTGAAGGCAATGGCCAAGCGTTATACGACCTGCTCCGCAATTTACGCACATGGGAGACACCGGAAATATCAACAAAACTGGTACTCACCATAGGCGGACAGACTGTGAGCCATGATGTCGACCGTGGAATGATCCATATCAACGATAACGATGGGTTAGAAATATACGTTCCGCGCGACGAAGACTTACGAGATAAATCTTACCTCTCCACTCTTCCCAATCGCTTAACGAAGTGGATGATGACAGATCCCAGGACAAACTCCAAGAGAGATATTGATCCCAATGCAGAGTTCTTAATCCAGGGCATCTTGACGACGAAGGCTAGACAAGTTGATTATTATCTTATCGAAAGGGGCATTATTGAAGTAACCATACCAGAGCAAGACGACCAAGAAGATATCAGCACTAATCAACCTACACCGACCCTTACTTCTACACCCACGCTCGTCGAACCTTCTACCCCTCGAATACTACGCCCGCGTCCCTCCGAGCCGGCGACCCCCCTTTTCGACAGCGAATCCCCGTATGAGAATCCAGAGACACCAGCAACAGATTACACATACTATTCTACCCCTAGGACAAGTTCAAGTAAAGACCTCTATTCATCCGCACGAACGGCTCCTTCGCCAGATCCATTCACGACGACTATCGCGGAAAGACAGAGAAAGGCGACTCAAAAGTACTGTGCTCTTCTATCACAAGTGATACGTAAAGCTAGGAAAAGCCGAATCCTCTCGGAAGAAACGGATCTCTCGGTGCTCCTGGATGTTATTCCAGGCAATAATACCATCGATAGCACGATATTCGACGAACATGATCTATTTGATCCTCAATTGGGTATGTCGCGGTTCGAGCGCGACAAGAAAGTAGGAGCCGCAGGGGAACTCTTCGTAAGTGTTCTCATAGCCTTTGTTAAATCAAGAATTGTATTGACAATATTCTAGGTCTACGAGCTTCTCTCTTCGATGGACCCAGCTCTCAGAGGGTTTACCAGGGCTAATTGGAAAAGTACTATTCGGGAATTCGTCACAGTACACCCGGATTACGCAGATATGAGCAGCTGGTCCGGAATTGAAACGTCCGACCTCGAGTACAAAGACGATAGCAGTAAACTAACAGCAATTCTCATAAGTAAGGGTCTTCTCTCGAGTAGTTGGAGAGGCTCACGGCCCATGTATTATATTGAAGTGAAGACTACTCCAGGGGGTCGAGATGCCCCCTTTTTTATGTCGGATACTCAATACCACAAGGTAAATCTCCCCCTCCAATCCAACTATTGTATATGCTAAATTATGTACTCTTCTAGATGGAGAGGCTTTCCACGAAAGATTCGATATATGTTATCTTCCGAGTTTCCGAGCTGTACAGCGGCGGTATTACTCTTGACATCTACGTCGATCCGATCCAGCTTGATGAGGGGCGGTTGGTGTTCTCGGCTGATAGGTGGACGGTGAGGCCGGTGTTTGGATTTACACGGGAAACTCCCGAGTTCGACTGAATTTTTCCTAGGTTAATTACGAAAGTTTACAACTACAAAATCAAATTACCCTGACTAGTTAAAGATACCATGTTGTATATTGGTATCAGCTCGTCTTGGCGTTTCTATTCCAGCATGGCATCGCATGGCATCGCATTGATCTAACCTTTGCGGGACCCTATAAAAGATATTGGCCTAGGTTAATTTACTTGGCAAGGAACAATCCGTACAAAGATAAATACCCTTTTATGACATGTTTCTTCCCTAACCTACCTAGGCAAAGTGTCCGAGCATATCGTGCTAGCGGTGTACAATTTGAGGACTAGAGAGCTGAACTTAGGCAACTCCACATGAAAGGGATTCAGCTCAGGAGTATAAATCGGAGATAGTTACCAAGATAAGCTGTTTTCAAAGCTGGAAGCAGAAGTAACTCTCAAAACAACTAAACGAAAATACAATATTAACTGCTCTGAGTACCCGGAATCCTGCTACCTCTTTAACAACGGATTCCAGCGATATTATCCATTAATCAACCAAGATGTCTGACGTCTATACCGATAATATGACCCGCAACGATAGCGAGGTCCAAAGGTGCGCGCCAAATACAGATTTACCTAGAGTGGCTTCTAATCAGACACAGACTTGATACACAATTAGACTATATAAATGAGTATGAGCTCCCACACGATCTCAAGAAACTGCTGCTCACTCACATAGCAATATTGGATATCTACTCCATCCTGCCGTTGTCGCCAGCCTGCCGCCAAAACCACAAATTGCAGATATAGGGACCGGAACCGGCAAGTTCCTATTACTTCTCCGAGAACAAAATCCCGATGCCATCCTCGATGGTTACGACATATCCCCAAAGCTCTACCCTCAAGAGAGCACGCTCCCACCAAATATATCTCTTAGTGTACTAGATATGAAACAGCCTGCTCCAAAGGAACTTCACGGCAAATACGACGTGGTACATGCCCGTCTGCTGGTAGCAGCAATGCTACCGACCGACTGGGCCATCGTCGTACGAAACCTCACCGAGCTCCTAAAGCCCGGCGGGTTCCTCCAGTGGGAAGAGTGCGATTTCCTCGGAGTCAAGTACTTACGTGGCCTCGTAGACTCCAAAGTCGAAGCAATCCGTTTCATGGGCAACCTCTTCAGCGACGCGCTGCGGGAGCGATCCGAACACGGATGGTGCACGCTTCCTCGCGAGATGCGGGATGCAGGCCTAAACCCCGTCTTGACGGATGTGACTGCGTCTGATAGGCTTCCGGAGACGAGAAAGACGTTGACGACGAACGTCACGGGGCTGTTCTTCTCGTGGGCCCGTATGATGACTGAGCGGGGGGCACCTGGTGCGATGACGAACGATCGGCTGGACGAGATGGAGAAGAAGACAAGCGAGGATGTTGAGTCGGGTGGGTATGTGAGGTATGAGATATATGTGGCTTGTGGTCGGAAGCCTTGGGAATTAAGCGGCGCGCTTAGGGGGGTACACCTATTGGGTTTATAGGCATTAATAAAGCTCACATTTGGTTAGACCGAGATTTCAATAGATTATAAGATATTAAAATTTACTAGCATGGGGATCTCTTACATTATATTAGACTTAAAGGCGGGAATGTAAGCATTATACAAGTACAGCCCTCGCTCCAGGGGTAAATTCGATATGATTCTAATTTAGAATAGCTGTTATATTGACTGGAATCATAATCCTAGTCTATATATGCAGCATACCTGGAGAAACAGCATTTACCAACACGGAATGGAGAAAATTGATGCCTGTCCTTGATTAGCGTGAGTTTGCTGTACCATCTTTCTGGAATAAATTCGTATGGTATGTATTTCATAAGCGTATTCGTCGTTCTTCGACAGATAGGGATATTATTCTTCCATCACTGACACGATACTATGGGTTATAAGTGCCTCTAGACTACTGTTTAGTAAATTTGGCTTTCTGCGTGGCTCTTTCTTCCCATTCATATTTTACAGCGCCTCCAAAAAGATCTGAACCCGACTATAGAAGGTTAGTGGAATTTGTCAAACACCAGAGCTGGTTTCAACAAGGGGACACGGCGTCAAGATATACTATACTTGGGTGCGGCATGATTTAGTTAAGACGTAAATTTGGAGATATAAGGGTAATATCGTTAAAACAGTCGTCGCACAGGAGAAAATAGGTTGAATTATCGCCGTGTCAGAATCCGACAGGACTACAGCTCCAAATCCTCGACTTACTTCAAGAACATTCCAATTATATAGATTACAGACCTAGGTAAGCTTCTAAGATACCGCACCGCAGATCAGCTCTATGTCGCCAAGCTCCCAGACGAAACCTGTGCTCTGCGATTCCCAAGTCGCCCAGTTAAACGCGGCAATACCATTCGTCCTAGCTCCTCGGAACGAGCTCACGGGAGCCACGATCCTCTGGGGCTCGCCAGTAAAGTTCATGACATATCGCCATGTACTATTGTACGCCTCTATTGAACAGTTCTCCATCGTCTGCATCTCGAGCGTGATAGATGCATTCTGGGGTGCTTTCATGGTAAATGCGAGCGCTTCGTACCCGGATGCCTCTGCGTCAACACAGGGCACGGTCTCGTAGAAGTAGGACATTGGCCGGGGTGTAAATGAGATAGAATCACCAAGGACGGAAATTGATGTCATAGAACCATCATCTGTTAAGGATTAGCTAACTTCCTTATAAGTTTTGTAGCTACATCGTTTGGCGATCGTAAGTCTCTTACCGCTTGCCTTTAGTCCGAGGTTATTCCTCCTGTTGGAAAACCGCGAGAAGTCGTCAACTAGGAGGTTTGAGGAGCATATTACAGCTCCAGCTTTATAAAGTCGTAGTCCTATAACCAGGTTATGAAGAGCGCGCCGCGGGTGCATTTTGTTCGATGGCGCAAAAACGTAGTGAATATAGGGGCGTTAAGGGAGGAGCAAAAGTAGGTATCAAAGGACGAATATGTGTCAAGTACAGTCAAGAAACTGCCGGAAAATGCAGGCTCAACATTCTGCAATCAGCAATAATTAGGTATATTATGGTTCAAAGCGTCCCAACAATTACCTGGGACCGAGCTACTGTTTATAGGCCTCCAAGGGGCACATGCTCGAGAAGAAACTTCGGAAACTATCATTGCTTATTACGATCCGTCGAAGGGAGCTAACGCAGGGGAAACGAGAGGCTTTGGTCTCCTAAGAATACGAGCTTTGTATTAAGTACCGAAAGGTTTGAGATGCAACTATGCTTGAAAAACAAGACTTTCCGTATTGATCCTTGTGCAAGTGAACTATGTAGCTACCAATAAGCAAAACCAACTCCTGAATGCTATGCTGAATGCCATGCTCGATCATCAACTAATGCAAAGTAAGCCTCCATGATTCGCCGCTGCCGTTCCGTTCAGATTGCTTCGTAATTCTTCAGGGGTTTCGGATATTGGGGATGAATTCTTCATCGTCGGACTCGTGAAATCCGATCGCTCGCTCGTTCTGCTCACGGAAACGCCTCACGCGTTCCTCACGCTCTTCTCGTTCCTTACGTTCTCTATAGGCCTTAAGCTCCTTAAGTTCCTGGGCATCAAACTTCCGTTAGGTCACACGTAATCAAACAGTAAATGTTACCTAGGGGGGCTTCTTACCTTTTCGTTGAACTTGGGGTGAGAACCTTTAGGAGGACCTTGAGAAGGGCCTTGATGCTGGCCCTGGTACTGGCCTTGGACTGCAACCTGACCATGAGCGGGGCCCGATTGGAACTGAGGCGGCTGGTACTGCATCTGAGGAACGCGTACGTTGCGAGCGTGGCTCGTAGCTGTCTGGAAGACGTAATCTTGAGCTTGGCGGTTGAGAGCTTCAATGCCGGCTCGGTCTAGAGCATGCACATCATTCGCGTTGGTCTGGGGTGCTGCGCCGCCAGGGCCAGGGTGATGGGCTCCAGGAACACCAGTCGGGTCATGGCTGCCGTGGGTGAAGTAGTTGTTCGGATGGTAGTAACGGAGACAATCCACACAGGGGCATCCATAGTAGTGATGTCGAAGAGGTGTGGCGACTGCCTCCTCTTCGTTCGCGGGCTGCTGGGATGGGCCCGGGGCTGTCACGTATCATGGTCGTGTTAGATTATATTCCCAAAATAATCACGAAGATAATTCACCAGAGGATGTGTGGGGGATGTTGCAGGTATCTAGCATGGATCTTTAAAGAAAGGAGGACTTACCCGAGTAGAAGGCAGCATCATAGGGACCTGTGCGACCTCTGAAGTAGAAGATAGGAGAATCCACTCCGGGTCTCGGGGTGGGAATTCCGCGAAACGCAGGAGAGTCTCGAGGTCCAGGACGTCCGGGACGTCGGGGAGGTCGGGGAGTTCTGGGAGTTCCAGAAGGCTCTCCAGGAGGGTCTCGGGGCGGCTCCTCGCCCTGGGGATTGTGGGACATGATGAAGTGCGGACAAAATATCTAGATTGATGAGCTGCGAACTTGGGGAAGAAAAGATGTAATGAATGGACAAGTTAGTAGGAGACTGTCTACTTCTCAGGTAGAACCTCGCTTAAGTAGGAGATGCGAGGACCTGGTAGGTTGGAGAGAAGTTGGGTTGTTTCTCTCGAAAATATGCAGTCACACTGGTCTGGTTTTTATTTTCGATCGTGGCCTAAAGCTTTAGGGTCTCCCATGTGACCATCGCCGGCGGCAACAGGACTGTTGCCAAGTATTACGATTGTCAAGGACAGTTGACAATGTACTATTGACATGAATGATGAACGTCTTTGTACATTTCACGTACAGTGGGACGGCAACAGAGGATTGTCGTCTTGAGAACGAACAACACAAAGCTGTGAGAAGCTTCACACTGAGTCACTGCCTTATTCCTGAGTACTAGGTCTTCCGTTATACGTAGGTCCTTAATTAGGATTATCTGTCAGATCCCTAGACCACTAAGACACCTAGGACAAAGGGCTCCCAGATATATCGGTGGTTCATTCTCAGTTCGTTCTGTAATTCTTCATGTTCCAACAGAGCTGTGCTCTCGCTTCTTGCTCGTATCCTCACATTGTCGACTGGAAGCGTAGCTATAAGTTATGTAAGCTACGAAAAAGACGTACAGAAATAGTCACAAACAACTGATAAGTTAAGAAGAATAGCCTATGAGGATCTATAATGTGCTTCACTGGACCGTGTTCCATAACTATTAGGCGTAGATGTCGATACTAAGGAAATAGAAGACGGCCTGTATTACTTCGAAATAAACGTATGAGTGTAAGTACCAATAGACACAGATTTAGAGACAGGGTAGTATATATCGTAAGATCTTGCTACTTTGTAGCAGAATAGTAGTAATAGGGGTAATGGCTTGTTATAAAACTCACATCAGAGAGTGTTGTTTTCTAAGCCATTAATCTTGTTATTGAAATATTTGCATTTAACAGTTGACAGAAAAGAAAGAAAGGAAAATCAACATACTCTTGAAGGTTTAGACCTAAGAGTGAGCAATTGTTAGTAAGCTGAATATATGTTGTGGTTTATTTATTTAGATATTTACAGCATAAAGTCAAAGTGATATCATTCATAAACGTCCTTGTTTCTATCATTATTGACTATAAGGGATCGTGTGGGATTCTTCATGATTTACTGGCGTCGAAACGATGCCCCTTTAAGGGGCATTTCAGAGAAAATGGGTAAATCATTCAGACGATGTGAGCTACCCAATCCCTTGGGTGGTACATTTCATAATGTTCAAGAAAAGCAGGTCAGATTATATCCTATCCGATCTTTTACAAATAACCTCAGAAACTGTATCTATAGATTTATTGTGGCTATATTTAGGATGATTAGAAACGTGGGACTATGAAATCTCTAGGAAACCAAACAAGTCATGCTGTGTTAGTGAGCCTTTATGAGCATTATCGGACCTATAAAGCACCGTACGGTGTCAGCAGAGATTATTTGGTGGAAGTGGCAGTGTTCTGCAACATTATTATTCCACTTATAACTTGCTACGTGATAGGGCTGGGTGGCACAATATCCGTGCATATTAGGATATAAGCTGATTGAGCCTCTTCCTAGGACTGGATAACCAACAAAGTACAATTGACAAGTCAAAAGTGATCCGATAGAATAAAAGCCTCGAGGAAAGGACCCGTGGTTGAAAATAAAGGATGGGATGCTATTTAATTGTGTACTTCGCCATGATGTAATAATAAATAGTTTTAAGAGCATAACGGGATGTTGAATTGTAAAAAAAGAACTGAGGTGATACATGCAATAAGACACAATTTATCGATAAGTAACCGCAGTCAAGCATGCAGATTGAAGTAGGTACCTTGGTACCTACCTGGTGTGCTTACATAATCTCACAGATATTCTGCCTCCAAAAAGTTTATCTTCCACTTTACAATTAATTTTACGATTGTGCATCATCAGTTGAATGCCATACTATGACAACATTGAAGGTCTTGCACTAGAATTGTCCTTGTATTTCCAGGGTATTTATTTTGAGCTTCATAACTTTGTACCGCCTATGACAACGACTATCAGTGCTACACCGCATCGAGTCCTTCTTTTTGGTTGGATTGGTTAGGCTATCTAAGCCACGCTCACATGTCCACCAAGACCCCAATCATTCGTTTACCAGACCCGTTTACCGTTTGCCAGACCCTCACTAGAATATGGTTTGGGTATTCTGGGGAACATTGAATAAACGGGTCGTGCTGATCCCAAGCGGGAAGGTCTTACAGCTCGGGGGTTTCGATTCGTCTTGACTTAATACCAGCTTACTCGACTCACCATCATTCTTCAATCTACCTGAATCTACCTGCTGTGTTAGTCTGCTTCATCAATCAGCCTCAGCCATACAGATTCGAGAGGACCCCGCGATCTGCTTTTCCATATTAGACGCATCAACCACGCATTAACCCTGGCGTGAGGTCTGAGGCGAGCCTATCTGTTGGATACCTAACGGTAGCCGCCCTGCCGCCCTGACGCCTTACCAATACTTACCAACTATGTACACTACCCTAATAACGTGCAGACACCATATTTAGAAGTTTAAATATGGGCCTTCTACCGAACTGCAAGTTTAACGGAGGTTGGCGTGTTGCCCTAAAGCTTTTTGGCTTCGCTCAGCCTCTCAGCTGTTCTCGCCGAACCTACTATTCAAAACCTGAAGACCACCCTAGCGCTATCGGGGAGTTGGACCGCAAAGAAGCGGTGTCCGTTGCTGGCTAGGCCAAACGACCACTAGGTTGGGTTGTTACAGGTTCGAGCGGCTTTTTATCATTCAAGGTGAGTAGAACACGATTGTTCGTAGTTAAGACTTGCGGGTCCGAAGAACTTGACCAGCTCAAGCCATCTTGGCGAAACCGCTACAGTCTATTGGATATCGTGTCGCCGGGAGCTACGGCTGACATATTACCTACGTAGGTAGGTATATATATGCTTATATATATGCTTTGCCGCCTGCCGATGACTTTGTCATAGTTTATATGAAAAAGTCGTCGAGGGCCGCACGACCGTGACCATACAATTTCTACCGTTTAATACCATTCGAATAGTCACCTACTTATATACCGAGTATTATACGCGATCGCTAGTTCCTAAATATACTCAGACCTGGACTAGCTTTGACCCCCTATCTTATTTGGCCGCCAATTTAACTTGCAGTTTATATGATTTCGATACTGAAGAGTTTCGCCGACATTACATCATTTACGACATTTGGAAGCATCTGCCGGATTTTTTATACATTAGACGTCTAACTCTCGAAAATCCCCGACGAAAGAAAAGGATAGCGAATATAGATGCGTTAACACTTGTCTCGCAAAACTACCTAGCCCAGGTTTCCGTGAAGAAGTACCGTACCGGACCAGACCAGAGGCGTAACCACGACGGGAAATTCGGTGACCGAATTACCCCTGCGCCCGAAGTGTAACGCATTGAGAATTTGAACCTGGCCAGGCACCCCTTCAGAGGTAATGGATACTACCACGTCGTTAAACTCGGGGCGATCCTGGTATGCAGCATTTGGCCATGTTTCCTTCTTTAAGCCGCGATCTTTAGTTCGAAAGCTTCAGAAAAGGAATTCACTCCCGGTTAAAACAAGCGATCGGAGGCCATTCAGTTCTCCAACAATTCGCCTAGTCGGCAACGATGATGACCGCCCAAGCCTAGAACGCCATACCGAAGCCACCGACTCCAATTTTAGATCATTGTAAGTTTTTTTAATCCGATTTGATGCAAGCCCCCGAATGGCTTGAGGGGTCCTTGTCTCAGCTCCCAAGCCATACGAACATTTCAATTTTTCATCTCCAGGCGCATCCGTTTTTACGAACTTCATATATGCCCAAAGTTGGGTTTCCTTGTCCATCTTGTGCTAATATCAAGGAGGATGTTGCATGCAGCATGCCATATTCCCCCTTTTTATGTAACTTGTCAACTGGCGTCATATATTCCTTGCTGCTTTGGCGTTCCTGGGGTGATATGCCGTTCCCCCAAGGGAACACATCCATTCTGTCAGGGGTTAATTAATTTCCACCGCGATTTGCTACATAAAGGCAGCCTCGCGCTACCAACAGCCGAGTGTAGTCGCCTATTACGAGTTTGAATTGGTTTCGGACTATTTCTAGATAGCCTAAGCCAAATATGGCCAGAAAACCCAGACTATGTAGTAGTCGTTGACCAGTTGTTAACGAGTCAGGAAACGCCATGGACCTAGAGCTACAACCATGTCCAAGCTCCCGACCAAAAAGTTCGCCAGTTTAGTTGATGCAAGGCACACGCCTGGTCTTTTAATCTCTGTGGACCCATCAAAACCTGTCGATCTTCACCTCTGGTCTTTCAATGTCTATTCTTCTTAGTCGGGTCCCTTTCTTTCCTACTAATAAACCTATTCCTTCTTCTAGAACTACGAGACACCGGAGATCACAAACTGAATCTGCTGTGGCACTTCAGTCAAGATCTGACGATAACGTGTTGGGACCCGTACCACCGCTAGACAGCTCCACAATGGGTCCTTCGTATGCTTCTCGAGACCCCGGATTTACTCCTAATTCTTTTACGATACGAGACCACTCAGCAAAAGAATCGGTAACGAGGGCCAACCGCCCAAACTTCAACGCTATGGGGCCAACATATGCTCAGCAGACCCAGCAACCAACAAAGCTACCGCCGGCAATGATGAGCAACTACGCGCAGATCGACATGCGGCCCGTTGTACCTAATCGTTCAAGGACCTCAAGCAGCGTGTCTAGTGCTGCGAGCTCGGTCAAAACGAACGACACTTTCGATGCTATTCTTTCGAGTCCAGCCAGCAGCAGGACGAGCCTCGAGTCTTGGAATTCGAGTCCACGAAAGATCGAGTACGGATGGCAGCGACCGGCACCAATTAAACAATACCGGCCGAGAAGAGAAACAGGGGAACTCTTAGCTGCCCTCCCCGAAGAAGTTCTAGGACTTATTCTGGACGAACTAAAGAAGTTGCATCTAAAGCCTGATAGTACAAGTTGTGCAACATGCATGATGAGAGATTTGTGCTCTGTCGCTGTGTCAGGGCGGGGCTTGTTGAGAGCCGCCCAAGTCGCACTGTGAGTTCTACAACAGCGGAGACTTAGACAGGAAGAACTAACAGATAGTCATAGATACGAGGATATCCAACTGGTCGGGGCAGATTCGCAAATGCAAAGGAAGCGATACAAGCTGAATTTTGGTTCTCGTCTCGTACTACTTCGGCGAACATTAAGATCAAACCCCAAACTGGCGGCGATGGTTCATAGCCTGAAAGCTCCAGCTGTGACCCAAGGCGTTCCTCTTGACCTATACCAGAACTTGGTGGCTTCTGTCATCATGGCATGTCCTAACTTCGAACGATTAGTTGGATTTCACCAGAACCACGACTACTCGTTCAACCGTCTATTCCATGCATTATCCACTCGGCGCAAGTTAACAGAGATGCATTGGACCATCGAGCCCTCTCAATTTCAGAGGAAGCGCCGTCTTTCGAACGCTGCAGCGCTACTGAATTCGGAGAACCCAAATTTCAAAGAAGCCCCGGGAGACTTACCACATCAGCTAAGCGAAGACTTCTTAGAACTTCACACGGACTGGGAGCATTTGAAAACTCTGTCGATACACTGCCTCCCGGGCGCGACGCTTACACCTGTGTCTCTTATACCTGACATATTATCTCGCCTGCCAGCTCTTGAGAATCTTCATCTATCTCACTTACCTTTTACATCTTTTAACGATGCGAATCTACTCTCATTGCCACCGCTGCAAACACTCACATTATCGCATCTTCCAGGTGTATCTAGCGAAGGTCTTTCCTCTTTCGTCAGGCGACCCTCGACTCGATCACTTAAAAAGCTTACTCTTCAGCACATGGATGTTGACTCGTTACCGACGCTCAGCCAGGTTCTCTCGAACCTTACGGTATTGGAGACATTTTCGCTAGTACAAGGTTCTCCGCCGATTATGCCACCAAATGAGATGATATGGTTATTTCCCTATCTTGCTTCGCCGTCGTTGCGCAAGCTGCACTGGGATATTACGAGTAACCAATCGTCCGCAAATAAGGCAGACTCGATACTTGCTAGAAGCATAGAAGCGAACGGCTTTCCATCGTTACGGAACTTACGCGCGCCGAATGATCCCGAGGGAATTTTCCAGTCGCTCTGTAAGCCGATGGAGAAGATCGAGACATGTAATGATAAGTTGCGCGGTCTTATCTCTAAGTGCACGTCGCGGCCTAGCCCTCCGGCAACTCCAACAACGCCAAGCACGCCGAAGACGCCAAGCAAGTCTCCCTTAGGGCTTAGTTTCCCAATGGAGGACCAGCTTTTCCCATCCAAGATGTCGAGCAACCTTTCACAGTCTCGGACCGCGGCGCAGAGCAGACTAGAGGCGGCGTGGCAAAAACCTCGCTTTTTTGTAAACGTGATAAATGAGGACGGGTCTGTGGCTGAAGACTATGGCCTTGCGGGGTTCATCGGCCAAGTAGAGTCAAAAATATGGTATTGCGTGATGCCAGATGAGGGTGCGACAGACGAAAACGGCGGGCTCGTTGACATTTCTGACGTACTTGGCGACCAAGGTGAAAACCTAAAAGTTGAAGGCCGGGAGGGATGCAACGGGCGCTGGAACTCGTATAACGGAAACATTGCTGACAAGAAGGAACGCGAACGCTGGCTTCACACCGAGCGCGGACGTTGGCGTCTTGTAACACTATGATGAGATGCGACAGCGGATGAGCCCAGCTTGGGGTTTGGGTAATGACATTTTCTGATTCATTTGCGCACATATATATACCATTTAAGGGGAACAGGAGGAGGTTTATGTTCAAATATATCTGGAATGCGGAAGAAGCAAGGGGAGAATGGGTATGACTCCCATGTTGTTATATTTGTGTTTATACATGATACCCCATCTATGTAATAATTGGAAAGTGGTTTTATGGTTGCAACTAAATGTTGTATATTATATTATAGTATTATGAAGAGTAAATAAAGATGTTGTCAGATTAGTCAGCCATGTCAGCCATGTCAGCCATGTCAGGTGACCTGAAAATCCCTAGTCTCATGTAAAATAACGGTGTAACACGCGTTCCCACGATTTTACCTCAATCAATCAAATCATCAGGAATATCATCAATTAGACCTCATATATCGCCTATTCAGTACGTATTAGTTGTGTGACAGATGTTTCCGATCGTTAACACCGGATATACCGGCGGTTCGGCGCCGAGATTTGGATGTGCGGAATTATGGCCGAAGAAAACCGCAGCAAACGTCATTGTTCCGAATTTAAAGCTTCTTTCTCCAAATCAATCCAACGCCAAACCTCGACTCTTTTTAGATTCTTTTAAGATTCTTCTTAAACTCTTCTTCGCCCTCGAAATAAACTCCAAGAATAAAATGAAAGAGTATATAAGTGTTGTTACATGTTACCGCGGTTGAGTTAGGAATATTACCAACAAATACTCCGTACTAATGCGATCCTCTTTACTACCTCGAAGACCGCTGCGGCGTGTTTGCGACGTCTGCAGACAGCAGCAGAGCCTCCATCCAACTTCAGCAACGATTAACAACGCCGCTCCCGTCAGGCCCATCATATTAAACAGAAGTCTCTCTTCTCGCCAACTCATCACCATAAGACCAGCCCCATGCAGAACACACATTAGCAACAGCAACGGCAATAGCCTAAGTCTTCAGACAAGACGGCACTTATCAAGCAGCGCGGCATCCTCACCCCGCGAACAAGAAGCAGCACCAGCAGAGCAAGAAACTCCCAAGCCGACTAGCACGGAACAAGAAGACGGAAAGAAGCCAACATCGCACTACGACCTCTTCCCGCAGACCCTGCCCCAGGGCCCCCCGCCAAAAGGCCGCTTCGCAATCGACGTGCGCGCGCTCCGCCGCGAATTCCTCGCCCTGCAAGCGACCGCGCACCCGGACCTCGCCCGCGGCGGCGCATCATCCAAGCGGCGGGCGGAAGCGGCGTCGGCATACATCAACGAGGCGTACCGCACGCTGGCGGAGCCGCTCGCGCGGGCGCAATACCTGCTGCGGCAGCGGTGGGGCATCGACGCGGCGGGCGAGGACGCGGGGCGGGTCGAGGACGCGGAGCTGCTGATGCTGGTGCTGGAGACGCGGGAGGCGATCGAGGAGGCCGGGTGCGAGGAGGAGCTGGAGGCGCTGCGGGCGGAGAACGAGGCGAGGATACGGGAGAGCGAGGATAGGCTCGCTCGGGCGTTCGAGGGGGACGACGGGGAGGCGGCGAGGAGGGAGGTTACGCGGCTGAGGTATTGGGTTAATATTAGGGAGGCGGTGAGGGATTGGGAGGAGGGGAAGCCGGTTGTGCTGCAGCATTGATGTGTCTACCTAGGTGACTGTTTACAGAAATTACTGATAGACCTGGCCGGAATTGCATCCGGGGGTTTTAGATGGCTATGACAGCCCAGGTCAAGTAAAAGGTCAAGTAGACCGGTCACTAAAAGAAAAACTTCTCTTTGTATACTTAGAAAGGTCGATTGTGTTTACCGTCCACTGAGTAGGTAGTCTTAGTACATGTCGCCAGGTTGGTGTGTTGGACCATACTGGCTTGAAATAGCCAGCCTCCCCTATTGAAACAGAATTGCCGTCGAACGACTCGGTTATATACAAAGAGATGGGTCTGGATGGCCGAATTGTCTCCTTAAATGGTGATCCCTGGAAAAAATGCGTCATGCCACAAAACCTCGCCAAGAAATTGAAGTTGACTTTCTCAGTTTTCAATATTTTGCTCCATCTCTAGAAGTCGATTTGATTTATTAAAGAAGTTCATAACCTCGCTAAAGGTAAGCCGTCGTTTAGTATAATAGGCATAGAATATCTCGAGAACCGTAAAGGTGTGGTCCGGGTCAGGTAATACTCTATACAGTATCCTCCTTCGAAGAGAATCCAGCGCCGAGTTGAGTTCTTTCATTCTCGTTGTTATTGGGATGGCTCGAAATGCTCCAGACTTGGTCGCATCCTGGAGTATCTCCTTTTACCTTACTGACATGTTCGTTTATAGCAGACTTCTTATCTGCGTATAACTTCCTAGATTCGTCGACTAGCTCTGGACGTAGGCCTCTTTCCATCGAACCTAAGAACTTCCCAGGTATACTATGATTGTTACGTTTCGTATAGATGTAGTCAGATCAGTAATGCAGATCTCGCCAGTAACCAGTGAAAATGCGACAATGAGCCGCTAGCGTATATGTTATAATAAATTTATATTGAACTAAGCGCAAACAGTAATGGGTAAACCTATGGCTGTTGTTCTGTTGATGGAAGAGGGGCTGTGGTTGAATGTGTTAAAAGAGTCGTAGTTATAACTGTCAGCCTTTCCCATATTCCCTATACCCTCTAGCTTTATATATTCGTATCTCATGTTCAATAGCTTAGCCTTACTATACCCAGTACAACTTTACCTGTGTAGCAAGTACTCAACTACCTGAGATATATGTAGGCTGTATGCAGGTAGGTAAACACAGCTTATCTCAGTGCTCAAACCGGATTTTACTGAAACGGGCGCAGCCTGCTTGCTGCTTGCTGCTTGCACCATGCAGCGAATAATCATCCGCTAAAGTGATTTCGCCTTTCTCAAAGCCGCTCGGGTAGGCAAGCCGGAGACCACCAAGACTAGCAATAAAAGAGGCACAGCAGTTGCCACATATATCCAGACTCCAGTACCAGCGATCGAGAAATTATCGCTCATGCTAAAGAGAGTCGCGACGAAAGAAAGCGGAAGGAATACGATCGCGATGTATGTTAATCGTTTAACATATATCGCTTCAACAACTGATCTGCGCGAGTCTAAAAGTTGAATGATAGACGCCATAATAGGTATCATCGCTTCAAGCGCGTTCCCATTCTGCTCGATTTGGGCTATGATGTAGTCGATATCCCGTGTTAGAGCTTCTCCATCTTCAACCGGAGGAGAATTGTCATAATGCCTCTTAGAATAGTTCAATGATGATTCAACGAACCACTTTAGAACCTGTAGCTTGTGCAGGCTGTGTTGGCTCCTTCGCCGCCACCGATACAGATCGACGACGTCCTCACTTTCGAAATTTCTTAGGCGATCCTGTACGCTCTGTGCCGAATATTCATACACTTTAATATACCGGCTCATAATGAGCGAATATGTCAACCACTCGTCGATAATTAGTTTAATGGGACCTGTCGATAAGAAGAATAAGTTGTAAGTTGAAGGTGACCTCGTGGACGCGCCTGAGCAGCTCTGCAGTAGCCTTGCGACTTCGTCCATCATAGATACAGGCCGCACGTCACTAGCACCTGGAGTTTTGCGGAATTCCGAGAATTTTAGCATCCCGTTAATGCTGCCTCTCCTATTCCGATATGGTACTTGGCGTGTTCGAAAGCTGGTGACTTGTGCGTTCTCCTTCGTCGAGAGATACCCTATAACATCAGTTGATATAGAGTCCATCAACATTAGGCCTAACCAAAATTAACTGTTGCCGGATGAAATGAGATGCCAGAGAAGTTGAGAAAGAAGCTTAATGGGTTTAGTATATAGGTAAGAGAGGCTTAATCACATACAGATCCATCGATCACCGTTAAGTCTCTTATAAAATATAGAGAAGCATGATCGAATAAGTCCAACATATCTTCCAAATAGCTCTGGGAGAGCTCGACGAGGCCGTGTAGAACTGCCGCGAAGGCGGAGATTGTGTGGGATACTAGGATACGCATCCAGTTCTCCTAAATCGATTGGTCGTTGGTAGTGAAAGTTCGCGAAGTTCTGAGAGCCGATGCAAGACGGAAGAGACGTCATAAGAGACGATGGCGGATCTTTCTCGATATCTACGAACCTCCTCTCAATATGCCCACAGAAGAAATAGGGGTCGACATCCAGGATTCCACCCAGGGTGTCCATAACACTAGGACCAATATCCTCCACAAGGAGACAAAGTCCAACTGCATTCGAGGACGTATCTTTCGCTATAAATCTTGAACTTATATCGGTCAACTCGTCAGTGCCCATCCTAGAGTAGTGCGTGGTTCCATCGCTACAAAACTCCAGGCCTGCAACGTGACACTCGACTACCTCAACATCGGACCGTTGGCAAGGACCTGTAAGAAACTCGGATAGGGGTTTTAGATCGGGTTGGTTTCGAGATAAATATTTCACGTAGTCAAAGTATGACAGATCCATTACAACACAACTCGTTTGCGTACCGAGATCGACTATGCTGCGAGCCAAGTTCTATATCCTTCACGGCCAATTATAAAGCCGTGGCAGAATGAAATATAATATCATATACACAATACTGCCCTCTAATCAGCTAACTGATCCGAATAATTGAGGCGTTCGTGAATTCTGTTTGTTGGTTAGATTTTATACCCCTAGCTAGCTACCTATATACATGACTGTTTTTCGAACGACAGCGGGAGAGCCTAAGACACTAAAATGCATATCGAGCAAGAAGGAGGTGCAATATTTCAAAGGATTGAATCCTCCAACTAGGACTCCTAACCAATAAAATTTCAACTTTCTTCTCACGCGAGGTTGCTAATGCATCGGATGAATGGTTGGTATGCAGTAACTCATGTGCAAAATACGCAGCCACAATAGTGGAACTATACAGTAAACTGCCTTGCCAGCCTACTAGTCTGAGGACTTGATTCTGCATGGCAAGCTGAAAATTGCTTATACGGTAGGAGTTGTTATCTAGGGTCTGCAGTTTCGTCATTGATGTCGGCTGCTTTAATGCAGATCAGAGAACTCGATGTAAGCCGGGAGCTGCTCACACCGAAATTAGCGTCTTTTTAATATGAACATATAGTTTTATCTCGATACCTGTTGGATAACTTATAGCTTGTGTAGTCAATACGTTAGGTATTTATATCGAAATTAAAGAAATAGGCAATGCTATAACAACTGACAACCTCTTGTAAAGCTACATAGAAATTACTAGTAGTGCATATCTTTCTTAGACAAAATGTTAGAAGATGTCAGATAAAAGGGACTATGCTTGTCTGAAAATGAAATTAAGATATCACAATTCGTAGTGCGACGCAAAATATAGAAATATAAGAACTGATCTTAAGACATTCCTTAGAAGAGCGAACCACTGTATACAGTTATAATAATAAACGGGTTATTCAACAAAGAGCTATAGAAGATATCTCCCCCGGGCTGCTATACCCCACCAACAACAGCCCAAGCTTCCCCACGTTCACCAGCAAGCAGCAGATATGTATTGTATTGTACCTAGGTACCAACTAACAACTGCACGCCCCACCTTCCACCTTCCACCCTCCACCTTCCAGCTTACAATCCCAACTTCCAGTCTCGTTTTAATTTCCTCCTCGACGTGATACCCGCTCCACCTTCACATCTTCACATCTTCACATCTAGTCTCACACATCTAGTCTTACTAAACGGAAACACAGCCGACCATGGCAAGCCCAAAAGTCACCGAGGCACTCGCCCAGGTACAGTCGTCCCCAGACCCAGCAGCAGCCTTCGAAAGCCTCCTCGCCAACTTCCAATCCATATCCACGCCGCAAACTGCAGCAAACGACTTCAAGGCCGCCATAGAAGCCATCGCCAACAGCCCCATCTCCTCGCAGCTCGGCGTCGTCGCCCAGCGCTCTCTCCTCAACTCGTTCATCGCCGCCGCGCGAGAATTCAACAACGCAGACCTATGGGTCGACATCGCCAACCACGCCCTCGAGACCCTGTCCGCCGCTAGCGGCCAGGCTTCCGCGTCGGTATCCACCGCGACGTCGGCAACTACGTCGGGTACCTTCGCCGACCAAGTCGCGGCCCTGCTCGAGCTCGCCGCCGACGGCTACGAGATCAGGGAAGACAACGTGGCAGCCGCCCGCGCGCTCTCCGAGATCCCCCTCGACAGCTCCCAGCGCCGGGTGTCGCCCGAAGACCGCGTGCGCGTCTGGGTCCGCATCGTGCGCAACTACCTCGAAGTCGACGACACCACCGCCGCCGAGACCTACCTCAACAAGCTCAAGAACGTCATCTACCAGGCCACCGACCCGACCCCCAACCTACATTTCCGGCTCTCCCAGGCCCGCATCCAGGATGCCAAGCGCGAGTTCCTGCCCGCCAGCCAGGCCTACCACGAGATAAGCCTATCACCCGCCATTTCCGAGGACGAGCGTCTGCACACTCTTAGCATGGCCGTGAAATGCGCCATCCTAGCCCCCGCGGGCCCCCTGCGCAGCCGCGCTCTGGGACGGCTGTTCAAGGACGAGCGCTCGCCGAATCTGCCCGAGTTCGGCATGCTGGAGAAGATGTTCTTCGACCGACTGCTGGCAGCGAGCGAGGTGCAGAAGTTCGCCGAGGGCCTTGCACCCCACCAGTTAGCGACCACGGCAGACGGGTCAACGGTGCTGGCTCGTGCCGTTGTAGAGCACAACCTACTGGGTGTATCCCGACTATACAGCAATATCGGCTTCGACGCGCTAGGCGAGCTGCTAGGACTAGATGCCGACCGTGCCGAGGACACGACTGCCAAGATGATAGAGCAGGGCCGCCTCGTGGGCCGAATCGACCAGATGGAAAGAATAATCTGGTTCGAGCGTGGTGAAGCTTCAGGCGAGAAGGGTAGCGGCCGCGCCGAAGTAACCGTAGGGAAGGAGATGCGCCGATGGGATGCCAACGTTCAGAGCCTGGCCGAAGAGGTCGAAAACGTGACCAACGCGCTGCAACGCGAGTTTCCGGAATTCGTCGCGGCGAATCTAGTAGTATGATAGAAGTATAAAGGGTAGGCCAAATCGCAAACAAGAGGAGAAAAGAAAAGGGAAACGAAGCATTGGAGGGAATTCTTAGGTTACGAGTATGGCGTTGCCGGATAATGACTAAATGCATAGATACGGCGTCAAGGACAGACACGTTGTAAATGGTACAGGGATTCTGACGAGAATATCACTCCCTACGAAATAGAGTGTTAGGACGAATGAATGAAATGAAGATAAAGCTTCTTAATCTATTGATCTAGTCTAGATCTGTCCTTCGCACTACAATGTAACCTTGGCTAAGTAGTCTCGGGTTCCCTCTCTCTTCCTCGTATATAAGGTCCTCGATGGCTTGCCTCTGCCGCGCGTCCGTTACGATACTACTAATATCCGTGTCTTGAGCTTCCGCAAGTCTTATAAGCTTGATAAGTTCTGCGGCGATTTTCTCCCCCATCAGGTTGTAGCCGGCTTCTGTCAGGTGCACGCCGTCCATCTGCCAGTACTTGGGCCTATCTGAGGGTTCCATATTGTGGTATGGTATGGCGTTGTGTAAGTCAAAATAAAAGCTATAACATGTAATGTTAATATATAACATCTTGCGTCGGTTTAGGAACCGGTGGAAGCTAGGAAGCCCCCTATCCCGGCGATAGCAGTGCGGAGGTATCGCATCTCATACATGATATTAGAGGAAAGCTGTATTACTTACAAATTTGGCTTCCTGTATTCCTTAATGGCGTTATTTAACTCGTCGCGTCGTTCCTTAACGTCCTTATATCGGGCTCTGGTGTCTGGTATCGTCAAGGCGAGCACCTTGCTACCCTTCAGGAGTGGTATATCCCAGGTTCGCTTCAAGCCAGCGACGATATCCTCAACCGCACATCCCCAGCCAAGATCGCTATATACGAGTAAAAGCTAAGGTTAGCTTAAGAGCTCTAGGCGAGTGTTTGAATGACAGAGCTTGTTTCACGTCTAAGGGATACAGATGAAGATGAATACGTAGTTTGAAAGGAAGTGAGCTAGAGGAAGATAACCTACTTCGTTCCACCTAATACGATAGTCCAATCATAAAATTCCGATCTGCTTTTCCCTAATAGAATAAGTCAGCTAGTCCGCTAGGTTGCTTTTATTATTGGAAAGTGACTAATTTGAATGAATAGTGTGACTGATATATGAGATATCGAAATGAGCAGAGTGTATTTCGTAGAAAACGACCTTCAGTAGAAGTACTCACATGAATCCCGCATTCGATCGAGAAACGAACCCCGCGTCACCAAGTCGCCCGGTACGCCTTCAACCTTATACTGAATCTCGCCATAGCCGTGACCTAGAAGCGCTTCCTCGAGCTTCTCGCTAAGTTTCTCCGCGTACGGCGTGCCCACCGGGAACCCAGACGTCAGCGAGTTGCCGAAGCAGAGAATACGCAGCGTCCTCCTAGGCATTTGGCCAACAGAGTATCCAGGTTACCCGAGGCGGATAACCGAACCGAGGGAGGAACTCGATTTTTGAAATGGATGGGATGGTCGAGAGTATATGAATGTTATGGTCACGAGGTTGAACCGGAGCAGTGGATAAAAGAGACCCAATCTAAACGTCAACACATCCACGAATAGGTACTAGGTTAGGCAGGTGTATGGTACCTAGAATAAAGGTATACGAACAGTTCGGCAGATGTAAAAGAAATTAGTTAGTAGAATAAGAAAAAAAAAAAAAAAAGGCAGTCCTTGTTGAACCCGAGTCAACAAGTTTAAGATGGCAAAGTAACCCGTGAACCAGGAGGCATGAGCAAGGCTGAAATATGGAAAGCACGTGGAATGAGTCTAAAGGTTTCAATGTTTGGTAATGCGACATGTTGCGTCAGGCAGCTGCCCCTCCCTTAGGTATGGTCGGCAGCTGCGATAAGCTTCGGAGCCATGTGGGGCAGAGCCGGGGTCATGCCTGCAGACCGCCAGCCCTGCGAAGCTAAAATCCGAGACCCTTAGCAGGTGATTGAACCCTTATTATTCCGCATGTCTCATCCATCGCTAACCTTAACCTTGTTGAATCTTGTTTTCCGCTCGTTCCTTGCCCGTGAGGTTCAAGGGGAAAGGCCTGAGGTAATGTCACCGCAAGAGGCATGTAGTTAGAATGATTCCCCGAACTGACCACTGAGGTGTTCTGCCGGCATAATGTATCCTCACGTGATGAAGTGTATGCATAGGTAGGTAGGTACCTAGGTAGCTATCTGTACATGGAGTTACGCGTTAGTAGTTCTATTAATTGATTGGTGTTTATTGTATTATTTTCTAAGCTTTATATGCATCGTTAATAAAAGAGGCCTCAGTAGATGCATATAAAAATAGTTTGGATATACATAAAGGACCTATCTAGCACAGGTTCTTATCCAGAATTCCACCCTACGCAAACCTACAGAATTACGAACTGTACTTCTATTCGACTAGTCGTAAAAGTTGAATGGGAAAAGGCCCACAAGCAGCTTATAATACTAGTAGAGTTGAGACTATCTTATTTACGGCGGTTAGACAAAGCTTCCCCGAGTGGCAGAATCGGATGCAGTCTGGGACGCGATTAAGGGTATTTGTTAGAAAATGGCGTTGGCATATCTTTAATCTACGCATTTGTAGATAGGCGGCGTTTACGAGCGAAGTAATAAGTCAGTCTCCAAGCTGCCAACAGTTTGAAGAGCAGTGATACAAAGGAGTAAGAAATCAGAGTGAATTCACAGTCAAGTCAAATAATCAGCTGGTAACGGAGTGTACTATTAAGTATCATTCATATACGTTACGAATAACCATACTCCGATAGCTTCAGTAATCCATTTGATGCTGAAGATGCAATAACCTCCTCCTCTTGGAGATAAGACAAGAGTTCGAAAGGACCAAAATATTTACATAATAACAAATGAGCACCGGGGACTATGCTATGCCTTTCTACCATATGACTCGCCAATTGCCAACCCGATTGAGTAAAAGGAAAAAAAATACTGATGAGTAATCGCTTGCGCTTTGAAGAACATCCATTCTTGTAAATATTTCAACGTAAAGAATCTTCAAGTCAAGGAATTAGTGAACGCGTCCTATAATGCTATCCGGTGCGTTTTAATGTTGTGTCATATATCGATTAAAATGCGTGTCCGTGGTAAGGAGGATTTTGTCCTCGTCCGCCAGTCGGTGGACTCTGTGCTGGAAATTGGGCGTATGGTTGCATGCCCTGCTGGTTTACGCGAGGATCGAAGTTCCCAGGGGGTGGAGACCTAAACCCCGGCCCAGGCGACGACCAGCCGCCTTCTTGCTCGTAAGACATTGGACCTCCAAAGCCACCGTAGCCAGGAGTCTGAGGTACGTTACCGCGACCCATATTAGAGTACATTCCAGCAGGCGGTGGCATACTGGGCGATGGTGTACGTTGTTGATATTGTTGAAACGCTTGCTGTTGCTGACGCTGATTAATTGCGTACTGCGCAGCCTGACTACTCCAACCCTGTTTCATTTGTTGTTTTTCTCGCTCTCTTGCCTCAATTGCACCTACTAGACCTCCACTGGTTTGTGGTGCATTCTTATTACCTGCCATGTTAATTAAAGGAGAGCCTGTCACACGCGCAACATGTTCTTGCTCCCGAGCTGACAGGTGTGAGTCGCTGACTCCTTGTCCACCAAGAACGGCACCGGCACCTCTAGACCCGGGGCGTTGGAGTAGCTCGTTCGGCCCCCGAGAACTTGGACGCTGCAAGAGATCTTGCGAATTACTTCGAGAGTGCGTACCAATATAATCCGAGCCTTGACTGCGGTTTAATGGGGGCGTTGGCGTACCCGCTCTCAAACCCCCAAGACTCATCCCCGACGAATGCCTCTGATGTACATATTGCGGCGTAACTGCAGCAGCAACTGCTCGTTTCTGGACGAACTCTTCGGGTGACAAGCCCTGTCCCGCGGGGCCAGACCCAGGAGTTGCAGGTTGCCAGATCATGCTACGTCGCAATGTATCCTCTGACTCTTGACGGTTATGTCCCATCTCAGCTCCAGGTGATCTACGTGGAGGTACGTGAGCCGGTGAATTAGAGCGAGGTCCGGGTGAGAATGACCTCGGCTGTGGGTTGCTAGGTGTTGGTGTCTTCGCGACAGGTGCTGTTCCATAATTCAAAGTCGGACCAAAATTTATGTCCGGAATATCAAAAGTCGCGCCGTGGGTTTGTACTGGAGAATCATCTGTGTTCCCAATTGTTCGGAGGACACCTGCTCGTGGCCGCTCCCGGTCGCTTGAGGTTGCTGTATCCGTCGAAGGACGAGAACTAGCGTAGTCGGGGCTGTCGGTAGATGCCGAATCATCATATCGGCTACTCGATTGGCTTTTGCTAGTATCAACGCGATGTACGCCAACATTTGGAGGGGCTCGGGGTGTCGTATTAAGAGGACGGACCTGGCCTAGTCCAGCCGCATCGATGCGATTGCCCGTCAAACTTCCACTACTTGTAGATGGGGACTGCGGTGTTACATCGTCGTAAACATGTCGGTGTTGTAGACTGTCGCTACGAGCTGGGAGTGGTTTTCTGTGAATAGGGGGGGAAGTGTTTAGCGGAGATAAAGGCTGGCGGTTAGCTGGAGATCTCGGCCCATCAGGGCCTGGTGGGCCTTGCGGTGGATAGCCGCGGTACATGTTCTCCTGGGGTGGGTAGTTTGGTCGGCCTCGCCCCGGAGCCATATTCGGCGGGGGACGGCCGCGACCTCTTCCGGGGGGAGCCATACCATAAGGTGGTCCTCGTTGACCTGGAGTCATATTACCTGGCGGCGGGCCATATCCGGGTTGTGGAGGTCGATTACCAGACGCAGTACCGGGTCGAGAGTTGGGTGTTTTTGGCCGGTTACCGGGACCTGGGCTGGGACCTCGCGGGCCAGGGGGTGGAGGACTCATAGTTTGGTTTAGCGGCGATCTCGATCTCATTCCGGATGGGTCCATTTGCGGCGGCGGCAGCCCAGGAGACTGTGGCTGGTTTTCCCTTAAAACTTCACGAGATCCGGCATTAGCAGATATCCCAGCGTTGTTAGCGTGTGCATGTACCGGAAGTTGTTGACCACGTTGGTCAGATCCCCGTGAAGGTGGTCCACGGCGTTCCTCGTTGCTCCTTTCATTGTCTCGTAAGTCCTCGCCTACGGGAACCCCGCCAGCTGTTGCAAGCTGCGCAAGGGTAGTCATGGATAAGCGGCTATTAGCGCGACGCATCTCGGGTGAGTGGTAAGGACGGGTCGTAGGGACATGACCAGGTGCGTGGGAGAAACTAGGGGGTTGGGATACTGGCTCCGGGGTTGGCATCCTCCGCATTCCTTCGAAATCGCGGATCGGAAGGTCCGCTCGATCTTCGTCGGAACTCATACGCTCCGGAGTCGCTGCTAAATCGTTTATGAACGCGCGTCCTGCATTAGGGCCTCTCATGGATGAGGCTGGGCTCGACGCATAGGGGCTATCCTGATAAGAGGGCGGCTGAGGAGGCATAGAGCCAGGGATACTAGAGTCTGACACATTGCGAGCATGGCCGGACTTATCTCCGATCACTGCAGAGGGATCGGGAATAGGAGGGGCCGGATCGTTTTTGGGGGGAGGTTGACTACCGAGCGACATGGATCGAGATGTACGAACGGCAGGGGGGGCTTCGTCAGCAAAACCAACACGAGGCTTCGCAGAACCTCCAGCGGAGGGGCCAAAACTAAGGCGCTTGCTATGGCCGTTGGCCTGTCCCGAACTGGAACTCGAGCTTGCTCCATCATCTGCGCTATTCATTCGGGTGCCAGTTAGCTCCTTGAGCTTCTTCCTCCATTCTCGTTCGTTCCAGCTTGAACTACCTTCAGTTAAGATTAGTCCTGACACATCCATTAATTCTAAGTAGCCATAGCGCTTGTGCTTCGGCATGGCGAACATAAGGGACCTCGAATCGAGGACGCTCGCAACCAATCTCCCAGGGCGGCCATAGAGGCCGAATGTGTCCCAGGTAGGAAACAAAAATCTAAGCATCATTTCGAAGCCGCTGACCGCCGGATGCACTTCGGGCATAATAAACACGAAACCTTCACTCTCAGTAGGCGGGTCCGTGTGAATAGTGATATTTCCTTCGATCTTGACCAGCGTCGAAGCATCAATCAGCGACTTAGCTTGGGGATATAGGGCATACGCTGAATAGGCGTCGCTGATGGTCGCTATGGGTAGCATTTTCTTGTGCTTCTTCCCGTCTTTCCTGCTATCATAAAATTTTATATCTCCCTTGAGTAGTGGAGTATGCCGATCATATGGGGACTTTTTCTTATGTTCTTTCTGAGCTTTTATAAATTCCTTCTCGTCTGGTGGCGAAATAACACACCAGCAGCGTCTCCATGGCACGCCAGCTCCAAATCGGACCCTGACCCATTGATCCATTGGCGTACGTGCTCTTTCCATAATGACGCCAATATTGTTCAGTGTCTTGCCCTTGCCCGCGATTAATGCCCCTGTATAGGCTTCTTGGAGAGTCGAATGCTCGAACATGGCAAGTCTGATACCAGCAGTCCATTGTATGAGGGATTGCCGGGAGTTGAAATGTAAAAGATAACGGTTCCGTCCTGCTGTCGATATACTGAGGATATTTTGCAACGGCTGCTCATCATTCGACCTTGTAGGCAGGGATTCGATCTGGGTATGTGTTAGCTCACAATTCCGTCTCGAAAACTATGGTCCTGTATGTTTCTTTTCGATCAGCTAGTGTTCATACCATCTTAATGGAAGCATCCGTCAAGTTTAAGAACTTTGGCAGAACCTCCCCATCCTCCCCCGCAGCATCCAATTCAGCCGCATCCCACAAGGATAACACAGTTCCCACCAACTGTGCAAAGCATTCTGTCCAGGTGCGATCGGAGTTCAGTTTACCCTCTGAAGGCTGTTAGAGTCCTGAAGAGTTCAATTGACCATAATGCGAACTCACGAGTATTCTGATCGTCAAGCTTTAGGAAATAGCCCTCTTGGTACAGCTTATTCGCATGACTATTGAGGAAGGTAAATATAGGCTGGAGTTCGGGAATCGTATCTTCGTTGACATCCATGAGGGGCGGTTGGTAGGTTTGCACCATAGACAACGGCCTAGAGGAAGTTCGACTTGTGGTTCTGCGATGCGTCTCACTTGATATAGGAGTTATATCTAGAAGGGAGCTATCATGGTTAACCCGGGCGGGAGATGTTGGAATAGGCGTCGAAACAGCGCGAGCCCGAGTTCGTGTGCGGAAACTACCAACGTTGATGGTATGGTGGCTTTTATTATTGGTAGGGGCCGAATTCAACTTGCCGTTGGATGTGGGGGCCTGGTCGTTCGGAGGTGACGACAAAGGTGTGGGAGAGACGCTATGTACGTTTTTCGGGTCACCGTTGTGCTGAAAATGGTGAGAGCCGGAGAACTGGGACATAAACGAGAGCACTTAAAGTTTAGAAGGGACTAGTTAGCATAAACAGGTTTAATGGTTTTAATGGTTTTAATGCATGGGTTGTGAAGAGTGAAAAGGAAATAGTGGGACAATCAAAAGATAATGATAGGTAACTAGGTAACTACCTAGGATAAAAAGATGTATGCATATGGCGGGGACCTAAAATTAAGTGAATTGAATCGAATTGAATATAACAATATAAAAAGAATAGCGTTGTGCGCAACTTGTCAACTTTAAATCGTAAAAGATTTAAAGCTTGATCGCATTCACAGCAACCACGCATCAGCTTGTATGCAGCTGTATGTAAGGATAATAAGTGGATGAGTGGATAGACCCAAGAGACCCAAGAGACCCAAGACCATGCAAAGTAAAAATGTGAATTATTGTACATAGTATGACAGCCTATGCTAGATGGAGACCCGGGAATACGGCACCAACTTTCGGTGTGCAATAGCCGGGTCCAGGGAACAGGGTGTTTTCTTTGTCGTGGCATGGGAATGATGGGAATGTGATGATTGACGCTCGATCTATTACCACTAACTAACATCTCGACGACTTGTCGGATGTACGTATAAGGGTGTGGAAATAGGCGTCATACATGGTGTACATGTAGGTGTGTTTAACATAGATATGCTTGTGCAAGGTATGATGTATGATGGATTGATGGATAGATGGATGGATGGATGGATGGATGGATGGATGGTGCCTCACAATGCAACTTGGAGGATTGGGGAGGTATTACCTGATTCTGATCAAACGACAAGAAAAAGGAAGACGAAAGATAAGAAGAAGAAAAAAAAGGAAGAATATACTAACCGCGATTCCGAGCCATCTTAATCCCCAGCTAAAGAAACCCAGCAGCTCCAAAGCAAATAGGATAACTCAACAAAATCCTATTCCATCAGACGAGTTTGTTCTCCCTTTCGACTACCTGGAGATGAAGGACAAGGATGACCCACAAAGGGACGAGTCGGAGGATAACGTCGAATTAGTGCCGAGTCGGTTTATCGGTATTAGGAAGATGCTATTCAAGGTACTTAAAATGGCATGTAAGTATTACGGTCTGTCGCGCGAAGATCGAAAAGCTGTAAGGGGAAAAAATAAATCTAGACTATAGTCGAAGATGCAAATGACCGAAAACCCAAAAAATAATCGAATTCCAAACTGTCTCGTAATAGGTGGGCGGGAACGCTGGTTTTGTAGCTCGGGTTCTTAAGTGTCTCCACGCGATACGAATTTGTGGAATGCGAGGGGAGGGTACAGTCTCGGATCCCCGTATATGATGTACGAGTCGTTATGCTGTAACAAAAATCAGGGCGGCCCGGCCTTGTCTTTCATATGGTGCTTCTCTAGATAAGTTCTATCTTGTTTAGTGAAGAGAAAGGCGAATCCAGGCTCAAGTGTAATTGCAAAGCTTTATTAAAGGACCTAGGTTAAGGGTTAGTATAAGTTGCCTGCCGCCGTCTACCGAGTTGTTTCCGAAATACGGAAGCGCCGGACAGTTTGATATAATTATCCCAGCAAGAGTCGATATGCGCGCTTGTCTAGATCCTATATCATCCTATATCTGGAGCTGAGCGTTCGTCTTTCGATCTTTTGGTCTTCGGAATTTGATGAACAGCAACAGAAACCAAGGGTTGTTTTAGACAACAAGATGCAAACGAGCATGTAGACGGATCGGGCGAGTTTACTGCTGAAGAAAAGAAACAAGCTTAGGTACATTAGGTAGGTTCGTATCAGGTATCTGCATACACAATAACAAGGTGGTATGTTAACATGGAAGAAAAAAAGCTGATGACAAAAAAGGATGACAGAGCAGGGGCATACGTCAGTCCGAAAAGATGGCAGTGTACCTACTCGTTAACGATGGCTGGCAACTGGTAGGCAGTAGGTAATAGTAACTTCATATTAATGGGTACTCCCGTCTCTAATGGGGGTATGTAGGTACTCTCGCTCTGGTTCGGAGATACCGTGTCGTATTCTAGCGGCTACAAATATAGCTTAGCCTACCAGCTACTGCAAAGCTACCATAGACTATTATCTATTCTAATATACACATACATATGAGCAACAGTCTTGGTTGCAACTTGCAAGGCGTCAGCGTATATGCATACATACGTAAATACGTCCCTTGGGGTCGTACTATGGTGTATTGTATATGTACGCTAGACATGGATGTGTAGATCAATCCGCCAGTTTGCAGCAAGCAGCTTGCTAACAATAATTGCTGACGATAGCCGACCTGATGCCCCCTGTTCTTGAGATGAATGCCGGGTCCTATGTACGTCTAGCCTGATTTAGAGCCCAAGATCACAAAGATCATAAGAGGCATCCTTGAATTCCATCATGGCATACATAGCTTTGCCGATATCCATAGTCTTCAGCAAGTATGTAGTAACCGGGTATTAAAGGAACCACGCTACCATGGTCCCTACCGACGAAAACGATTGGATAGAAAGGGGCGTCGGGTGAGACGGGTACTTCCACTATCCATATGTGGATGCGTATGTATGACCAGCCTCTAAATTTTCCCTTATTCCTTATTTTTCGGATCCAAAGCTCAGTCAACCCAGCCCAAGGATGGGCTATGTGTGTCTCGGTGGACCTGACGTGGCATAAAAGCAGAAAGCAGGAGAAAATCCATAGCCTTGGCCAATTTAGGATCCGCACGCGCCTAAGTTGTATCGCAGCGGTTCGACTTTGCAAGACAGAGCCAGTCACGAAACGTGCCTTAGGTACAGCAGCTGACAACCAAGCGCTTGGTTACCATCCTTTCATCCAGCCGAGACACTCAGCCTTCGCTCCACAAGGTGAAGTTCTGACATGCGAGTATGACTCTCACTCTGCGGGCGTATAATATACGGAGTAGGTATGCCTCCGAAAAAGTTCATCGTTTCATCTAACAAGGAAGTTTCGAGCAAGTTCAATCTATGTTGTCGAAATCGTACTGCGCCGCCGAAATACCGCGTACAGCTACATAGCTGCTTTTCATCTAACAACGCAGATACCCTAGTGACAGATCACAGGGGACCCCAAGTTCTGTCGACCTTTATTTCGACCGCCGAGATTTAGCTTGTGTAGGCGTCCATTTCCCCGGAATAGAGTGGTGGGCACAGCATCGTCTGCTTCCACGCCTATGTATTCATTCGTATTCATTCGTTGGCTGCTAGGCGAGTGGCCTCATGTACCTAAGCCACCGATGACACGCGTTTTTTTTCTTTTGAGCAACCCTTCTCGATCCTTTCCATTCATAAAGCCGGAAATTTCAAACATGATGAGTCAACGGCTTGACAGCTGAATGCATGAAAGGACCTCAATGGTGACAAGCAAGTAGTACAACAGCAAAAGGTATACTAATAATTCCCATTAGAACAAATTTCTACGTCATAGGTAGCTACTAGGTTAGCTAGTGCATTTGTTAGAAGCAGAACTAAACTCTAGTGCGGAACTAGAAGCAAAGCAAACGTCCAATGCTAATAGAATATAAATATAATTACTCTTGACTTTAACAAATTAGAAACACTCCTCTGGACTGAGTAAACGATCAGACCATGATCGCTAACCTACCTGGCAATCTATCAGTTTTATTGAACAAGATCTGCAGTTTCCACCCCTCTATCTGCCGAGACCATAAATGCAAAGCCAGGCTTGTAGCAAATGGGCATATTATATGTAACTATCACAGATACGAAATATCAGTTTAGACTTGTTCAATACATTCAATACTCCATTTATTTCATAAGATATTTTAAATACCTCTTAATATCTACCTAGGTACGCACCTCAGGTCATCTTAGGGTTGCGACTCGATCCAAGGGCTACACCAGTAAGTAATTGCAATAAGATAATTACATGTAACTAGTGAACTACATCATGTAGTTAGTGAATGCAATAAATTCATCTTTTGCGTAATCGAAAGTGATGTCATCGTAATTCTATGTACATAATAAAAGCAACGGATTTCGGATTTAGGTACTAGGTTAACCTAGGTACCTAGACCTATTAAATCCTCGCGCAAAAAATGCACTTTACGATAAGCAAAGCTAAACTTCCTTATCAAGACGTGGTCGACGTTTAATAGAATAGCGCGTGTTTATACGTGGTACCTACCTACTTACCTAACCTACCTAGGTATCTATCAATTAAATCACTCTTTTGGCTGCCAACCTAAGCGCCCTCAAGGTCTAAAGCTAGACCTCGTTCGTGGGCATGAGAAGGTTGGCTCCCTCTTTTCTGTTGGCCTCTTATCCTGGTCCAACGCGACGGACATTGTCTTCTGTCCGATTAACACGATGGCATCAGCGTCCCAAACATTTCGCAGGCGGTAAAAGCCACTCTTCTGCAGCCACCGAGACATCCGGTAGCATCACGACGCCTCTTCCTGACTCCGAGTTAAACTTGCCTTTTCGCTTCGAGGCCGGATTTGCGCTATTCGCGAAACGCGCTCCGAGACCGTTTCCCCCACCATTCCTCTCCCCTCCGTCGGGCTCATTTTCGGACCCCCTTAGTACTCACCACCAGAGTCGTGATAAGCGAGCCTTCGTAGACGGCCAGGTCATCCGCGGATGGACAAACGGCGATGATGCAGTTTATGCTAGTGACCACTTCATTTGCGCCAACGATGGGGTTGGCGCCTGGTCAGCTCGGCCGAGAGGCCATGCAGGGTAACTTGTCCCACGGTCGTATAAGCCTTATAAATGACAGTCCGCAATTAACAATGGTTACAGCTTATGGTCGAGATTAATATTGCACTTCTGGGTGGCGGCAATAGAAGAAGATATCGCAAAACCACGATCCCCCGACCAATCATACCGCCCAGACCCTATGCATTATCTGCAGCAGGCATATGAGCGGACAATCGAAGCCACTTCGGGGCCCAATGATTGTTTAGGAACCACCACGGCGGCCGGGGCTCAGCTCTTCTACAAGGCTGACAGCAGTAACTCAGCATCGTCCGTATCACCACTTTTATATGTAACAAATCTTGGCGATTCACAAGTTATGGTAGTACGGCCGAAAAGTCGGGAAATCGTATACAAATCGACAGAGCAATGGCATTGGTTCGACTGCCCGAGACAGCTCGGAACAAATAGCCCAGACACTCCAAACAACAACGCCATTGTAGATATGGTGGATATTATCGAAGGCGACGTCGTATTAGCTATGACGGACGGCGTTATTGACAATCTCTGGTCGCATGAAATTGTCGAGAACGTGTCTCAGAGCGTCAAGCGCTGGGAGGCAGGAGAAGGGGGCCAAGCTAGCGGCCCCCGTATAGATGGCGCAGGTGGCGGCATGACATTCGTCGCCCAAGAGCTCGTTAATGCTGCAAAAGAAATTGCGTTAGACCCATTTGCAGAAAGTCCCTTCATGGAACATGCCATCGAGGAAGGGCTAGCTAGTGCAGGAGGTGAGTGTAGCATGAGTATCAACCATCTTTACTAGATTATATATGCTAATAGACATAGGAAAACCTGACGATATTAGCGTTGTAGCAGCATTGTGTCAGCGAAACATGGCATCATGACACCCCTAATATATAATATAACTAATACATTCATGTATAAGGCATACATACTACCGCTGTGGTACTATGAGCGTTGGGGGTTAACTCTGACTATCTCCAGCCATACAAAGTATCGGGGTAGTACCTATCGACATTAATTGATCTGGTTGTCACCTAGACGATTAGAT